CGGCGCAGCAACAGAGAAGTCCCTCCCCCGGGGAGTCGCCAGCCGGCATTGTCCGGCTGACGGCCACCGGAGGAGGCCCAACCTGTGCGAACTTGTTGGTCATTGGGAGGTAAGTGGCAGGAGGCGGTCTCTCAGGTTGCCAGGTCCTAAACCATGAAGGGCTTTAAAAGTAACGACTAGCACCTTGAAGCGCGTGCATTATGATGGTTGCTTGTTTTAAGAGTAGAAGTCCAAAAAGAAGAGGGATTTTATTGAGAAAAATATTTCAGAGATACTGTCTTGGAGCCAGAGGCTCTTGTATTGATTTGAATAATTATGTCACAAATATAAATTCTTATCTAAATACTAGTTTAAGTGCTTTATTACAATTAACATTGTGGTATTCCAGCAAACTAGTGTTCTCAGTCATTATTTAAAGGTTTAAATGATTGTACTTTTTCAAAGTACTTTGTGTATTTTTAAAAAATGATTTTATATCTGAATATTCTAATACTACTATCATTGTAAATAAAAATGCTTTAATTTTATTAACTTTTTTTTCTTTTTAAGATCCTAGCCTTCTTGGCAGTTACAAACCCAAAAATAAAGTGAGTACAGAAACAGAATACTTTATTAACTACAATTTAATCTCTCATTACTTTTTTATTTCCTGAACAAAATTGTCATTCAATTGTCAGTGAGTAGTTTATATGTTAGAGTTAAGATATGAAAAATTCACAAAATTAAAGGACATTTTTTTATTTCTTGATTGAACATCTGATATACTCAAACCTATCAAAAAAAGTAGAATGTAAGATTTGGAACTTGGAAATGATAGCCAAACCCCCTACTTAGCTGAAGAATGCATTACTGCAGGGCTGTCAAACTCCTAGCTCGCAGGCCGGATGCGTCAGGCGCTGGCCACGCCCACACCTGGTTTAGCTAACTGGGGCAAAAAAGTTCTGATAGTCATGTGACGCTACCGTGACGACATCCCTGCTTTACTTTAGCATTCCCAGCAGGTGGACTCAAGTCTTTGTTTAGAAACCACTACTCTCTTCTGAAATAATCCATTATTCAGTAGCTTCATATCTTTACAAATATTTTCCTTATGCTCAATTAAAATCTACTTCATAATAATTAAAACCCATTGTTTCTTTCATGTCACCTGGAGAGAAACATACTTAGAGCTTCCAACCACATTTCAAGTATTTCTTCCAGGCTCTTTATGATCTTGACACTCTATGACTGTACTCAAGTTTGCAGTGCCAGTCTAGAAACACAGTTCCTCAAACTAGACAAAATATCAGACCAATGCAGATCTGTTTTATACATACTGTTGCCCAGTTCAGTCCTTCCCATACTTGGTGTTTTTGATTTTTTTTCTACTCAAATGTAATATGTTACATTTGTCCTTGTGAAATTCATCTTGCTAGTTTTTGCCCACTTATTTCCTGTTGCCTAAAACAAGGAAATATATTCAAATTTTTGTATAAAACAAATTTAACACCTCTCACATAAATATCAGAAATTTAAAATCTGTGGTAGTAATATCAAATTACATGACTTGACAGAAAAAATAGCATTGGCAATGAAAAGGATTGAATTTTCATTTCTGCCTTCACAGTCATTCTAATATATGATGAAATGTATTTGTTACATTGTTAACAGTGAACTATGAGATCTAACCAAGACATTAAATGTATTATATCTTCTACAAATATCATTTGGGATTTTGTATGTGTGTTTCTAAACAGATTATTGGACCGCATCATGAGAAATATTTTGATTATTTTCCCGATGCCTATGAGAAGCACTTCCTCACAAAAATGAGCAGTAGGCAGATTTATTCAAATCGTCTGTTAATGCATTCAGCACCTGCATCATTGCCGAAATTTTTTTCAACTCCTATGTTAGATCGCTCATCTCTTAGAGAAAGGTAATGACACATATTTTTGGAAAATTTAAAATAGCATGCTGTCTCCAGGTTTATACTGAATGTTTAAGTTGGTTTGTGCTTTAATCGGGGTCTTACTTTTTAAGAATATTGGCCATTGTTTAAAATCTGATATGGCAATCAGTAAAAAGTTAAGTTTGAATTGTACCTAGTATTATTCCAATACAGCAGTGCATAAATCAACATTGGTATTTAATCAGCATAAATTTATCAGTAAAATATAGATAAATTCCTTATTAGCAATGTCTACTATTAGACTAAGGAGCACCTGATAATAACAGTCTGTATAGGTCAACCACTGTCGTGTCCAAATGCCTTTTATTCAAATATATACCTCAATCTTCTACAATTTGATACCCTTTAAGATAGGAGGGGGGAGGGGGGAAATACAATATGTGTTANACCGAAAATGGGGTGTGTGGAGGTGGCAATAGGATATGGCTAGCCCTGCAGCCTGAAACAGCTGATCCTCAGAAGGCTCAACAATCAGCTGCTTGTGCTAATTAGGCTGTGCTGAAACTGAAACTGAAACAAGCTGTTTGCTGCAAGGAGACAAATTGCTGGAGACAGAGGCAAATTTTTTTCTTGTTTTTTTCCCCAAAAGCTAGGTGCACCTTATACTTTGAAGTGTCTTATACTCCAAAAAATATGGTATGTTAATCCCTTTCCACAAAAACCTAAAATAGAGCAAAACTCATTAAGAAATTTCTCACTTAGCAACATAAACTCATTCTTATGTTCTTATTCTTAATCTCACATGAGCCACAATGGTGCAGTGGTTAGAGTGCAGTACTGCAGCCTACTACTGACTGAGCCCTCCATCCTTCTGAGGTGGGTAAAATGTGGACCCAAATTGTTGGGGGCAATATGGTGACTCTGTAAACCACTTAGAGAGGGCTGTAAAGCACTATGAAGTGGTATATAAGTCTAAGTGCTATTGCTATAAATGGGGCTCAATTGTGGTGATATATTGAGGTCTATCTGTACACTAACCTGATATAAAACAGAATTTAGAATTCTACAGAATTGCTTGTATTGTGTAAAATAAATGTGTGAAATAAATACTGATTGCAATGAGAACAATGGGAAAATCCACTAATATAGGTGGCAGCAAGGAAAAAAAATTCATTCAGTGAATTCAATACTAGATGTAGACTTAGAGGTACACTGGGTAGTAATATGGCTTCATACTAATTCATAGACAACCTTAGGGACAATAAATCATTTTTAACTTGTGACTTAGCCAGCCATGCCGACCTCAGGCACATTTCCACAACATTTCATAGTCTTCTAGATATGTTCACCTCTGCTGTGATACCCATCTAGCTTGAATTCTACCTCTCTGAAGAATTTTTAACAGAATGAGTAATTCTGCCTTGCAGGCAACTGGCAGTTTACAGTTTTAACGCTTCTCTCCCCTAAGATCCATTGAAGAAACAAATTGCTCAGTTCAACCACATAAGTGTTCCATTGCATCATATTTACAAGTTCTCAGCACCTCTCAAATTATTTCACCCCCATTCCCTCTTGCTGATACTTCCAACATTCACTCCACACTTTGCAAACATATCTAAGGAGATAGGCTTACAGGAGCTACGAAGAGGCTCCAGGATGTTCTTGTAAAATCTTGACCTCTCTGGGTACTACTATAAATTATCAGAGATTTCAGTGATGTTTCATTTTGCCAGCATTATTTGGACAGAATGGAGATGGTGGAGGTATCTTCTGGCAGCCATCGACAGCACTTTAGGGAATTGTGGTTTGCTACCCTAAACTCCAAAGTCAATAAAAATATAATAGGGAAAGTAATAGGAGGAAACTGTTGAACCACCAAGAAACAGATCTGGTGTCCAAAAGCAGATAATTATGCCATTTGAGTCAAAGAAGAAAACTCTGTCTTGGAGCCCAGAAGTGTAAGCCAAGAAGCAGAAGGTCACACTGGAAATATTCCAAAGAAGAACATAAACTCAACAAGCTAATCAGGTAGATGAAATATGGGCCAATCTTTAACACACACTAAGTCAGCGGGGACCAAAGCAAACAAAACAGCACACAAAATGAACAAATATTCCAAAAGTTTTACTTTAAAGGATATTCCAGGTGGTATGTATAAAATAGCTGCAGATGAATAGCCTGCTCAGTTGGAGAAATAAAACAGAAATAGGGGAACAGATCACTATTTTTTTTTAGTATTAAGGAATGTCAATTGGTTGAACCTTTCCCCCCTAAAAAACAAAGCATTTAGGCAGATATCTGTGTTATTTGGTTTTAATCTTAAAAATTAAATGTAGAGACTAGCTACAATTTGCCATTGCAGATATTTTCCCTGACTTGGGTAATGTCTTTTCTGGTATAAATTACTAATGACATTAGCCTAAAATTCCTGATTGATTTGGGAGGCACAGGGGATTTTATTTATTTATCACATTTAGACAGATCTATCCTATCTAATAAAAAATGAGTCGTGAAAAACAAAAATGCAAGAAATGAATTATATGTCAGGTCCCTGTTGGAACTCTGTGATTCTGGAAGGGACAGGGGAGGCATCAGAAATAGTTTACATGCTTTCACTTTGCTGTACTGCTAGGGAGTTTGAGGAAGGAGAGGTTCACACCATTTCCATTGACTCCTGCCAACCGGTTCACGCCGGGTGTTCAAGTTCGATGTGCCCCAAAGGTGGCATTTTCTCCATCATGCCACCTCAGCAAAGTCAAAATGCCTTTGTGGCAGATGATTGGCTAACGATTGACACGGGTATTAAGGTGGGAACTTGAAGGGAAAAATTAGCTTTATGCTTCGCACCTGATTCTCCGATTCCGCCTGACTTTTCTGCAATCACTATCTCTCAGTAAAAGTTCCTGTTCAAATGTGACTGGCTTCAAGAGTTTTACTTTCTTGTGAGAGGAGTTGAGGCAGACCCTTACATTATATAATAGATGAATATTATAATACAAATAAAGTGGCAACAAATGAAATCAAAGAGAGCAGGAAACAGTGAGAGAAAATTAAATAAAATACAAGCCAGTTTGATGGAATTACTTCCAAGAATAGAATAGAATAGAATAGAATAGAATAACACAGTTGGAAGGAACCTTGGAGGTCTTCTAGTTAAACTCCTTGCCTAGGCAGGAAACCTTACACTTCTTCAGACAAATGGTTATCCAACATCTTCTTAAAAATGTCCAGTGTTGGCGCATTCACAACTTCTGAAGCTGAGTTGTTCCACTGATTAATTGTTCTATTCTATTCTATTCTATTCTATTCTTGGAAGTAATTCCATCAAACTGGC